CTCTTGAAATGCAGCTAATGTGACTAACACAGAGTATTTAACTATTTTACTTTAATTAACTTAAATATAATTTTCAAACAGAAACTCAAGATTCAATTATTGGAAAGTATGTTTAGAATAACTTGGGTCTGAGTTCACTCTTTCAACTGTGAACTTAATGAAATCTAAATACAGATCAAATACAATAAAAATTACATATTTAAATTAAGATGTTTTATAAGTATTTGAAGACAGTATGGAAAAAAAGAAAGTAAAATATTGTAATTTTTATATTAATGATGTTAAAATGGTATTTTCTACATAATGGGGTAAGTAAAATATATTATTGACATTAATTTCAGTTTCTTTAATGTGACTGAATGAACACATACTACTACTGTATGGTGCTGACTCCTTTCCTATGACATTAGCATTTGTGACTATGTCTTACCTACTCTTTAATCTCTTTAAGGAGAATTTCATTAATTTTCATAATAGTAGTAACAATAATGGTAATAGCAGTTAATATAAGGAATCTTCTCAGGAAATAAGCATGCTTTGAGCATTTGCATCTATTAACTTATTAATCCTGACAACAGCCTTATGAGTGGAAACTGCCACTATCCCCCTTTCATGATACGAAAACTGAGGCTCAGAGAGTCTGATGGCAACAGGGACCAGGAGTGGTGGTGCATACTTATAATCCTCGGGAGACAAAGGTAAGAGGATCATAGTCTGAGGCCCACCTGGGCAAAAGCATGAGACCCTATATGAAAAGCAAACTAAAAGCAAAAGGACTAGGGACATGGCTCAAGTGGTAGAGGAGTGCACAACTAGAAAGTGACAACTCTGGCATCTGAACCCAGATAGTCTCTAAACTTACCTAAACATTAACCACCTGCTTTTGCATTTGCCCAGTACTTAGCAGGTAATCAGAAAAGATGTAACAAATAAACAAAACACAACTTCCCCCACATATGCAAAGATGTACAACTAAGCTACAACCACAGAAATGCCAGTTAAATAGAAACAGCAGTGAAGACAGAAGGACAGCAAAGGTACAAGAATATAAGCTAGTGAAATCTAATAGCAACTTCTGTGATAAGTGACAATACACATTGGGCAAGCTTGACTTTTGGCATTTTTAGGACACTGCTAAGCTAAAAGACTTAGTCTCCTCATAAATGGAGAAGCCATCAAATTCTGATATTCCAGGATCATAAGCAGGAGGAGAAGAGCAGAGGGAAAGCCAGGCACACCTCGGTGGCTTGACCAGCCTCACTGCCATTCCCAAGCAGAACTGCTTTGGATGTATTAGGCCACACCTAATGTGTAGCAGAAAAATTTTTCAACTCAGGGAATAAAAAAATCAGCTTTATGGTCTCACACACACACACACACACACACACACACACACACACACACAAAGGAAAAGTTACTTGAGAATAGCACCCAGGTTTAAGATTATCAAGACAAACTTGGCTTAGCTTGGCTACAAGAATGTTCCCTAATAGTAAACATATGGACCGTACAGATTGTATCCTAACCCCAAGCAGAAGAAAACTAAAACTAAAATATAAAGACTATAAGGCCTCCAAACACAGCCTTAACCAAAAATTTTCAACTTTTAATTCAAGTGGCACCATAGGTCAAATGTTTCTGGACAATGAGGACTGTCATGGAGGTAAATGTTCACAAATAAAGTAGATCTATGAGGAGTCATTAGCTGGGACTCCAGAACAGACTATAAAGCCCATTGCAGAGTACTAATCTTACAAAACAGTGCCAGGGATGCACAGAACATGCTCCCATATCAGGCACCACCATCCTGCCCAATACTGAGATAGGATGGCTGCAGTCAAATCAGCCCTACAGCTTGCCGTTTGAAAGGCAGAAACTAAAAACCACCACTGGTGAACTCCACAGAACCAATGTAACATAAAGCCCAAGCACAAAGGCTGGGACAGACAGGAGGCAGCAAAGAGCACATCAGAGGGCCCCAGGCAGAAAGAAAAAATTCCTGTGGGAAACACAACTAAGACTACTTATCCCGTCCTTACTGAAAATGAAAATGTGGTTCCTAAGAACTTGGTGAATCTTCTCTGTCTATTCTAGTGCACACAGATGAATGCAAGGATTCTATTACCAAACCCAACCCTAAAACCAAACCTCTACCCTCACCTTCCCACTGCCTCCTAAATCTAGCATTCACATAGCACCCTTCATGGCCTCTTCACATGCCACAAATCCCTTCCCAGCTCAACAGTCTACTTTCCTATGCACAGCCACACTGAACAACCAGTGGGCTGTGCCCTCAACAGACCTTGTACTTGCTCATCTCCCCTTCATCTTCCTCAATGTGCAAGTCCTCATCATCAGAGGGCTCTCCTCTCCACACACTCACCTCTCCTCACTCTCACCGCCTTCAGGAGCAAGTTCTAACCCATTACAGTCTGAAAGTACGATCACGGATCATCAAAGGTATTCCATGGGACACTAGTCTTCCCAACTCCACCCACTATAACTGTGGAAATTCCATAAACATTTTAAGTCTGGAAAACGCTGAATACTTTATTCCCTTCTTAGAGTTACTCAGTGCACATCAGCACATTGAAGGCCCTGAGAAATCCTGCAGTTACTAAACTGTCAAATACAAAATAAAACATTGAGTTGGTCAGGTGTAGCAGCTCATGCCTATAATCTCAGCTCTTCGGAAGCTGAGGCAGAAGGATCAGGAGTTTGAAGCCAGTCAGGGCTACACTACAGACCCTGTTTAAGAAAAAAGAAAAGAAAAGGGGAGGGAAAGAGAGGAAAGGAGGGAAAGAAAAGGAAAAAAACATAAATTATCACCTTACGCCTGTGGTCCTTGTCATATGCACACAAACCCTGAGGTCATTATGGGAAGTCAAATAAGCCTGTCACAAAAAAGACAAATACTGTATGCTTCGAATTACATGAAGTATCTAAAGTAGAAAACTATTAGGAACAGGAAGTAGAATGGTGGTTACAAGGGGCAGGGAGGAGGAGGAGACAGGGAGCTGCTGTTTAATGGGTATAGCAAGATGGAAAACCTCTGGAGACCAGCTGCACAGCAATGTGTACGCATCATTAACACTCCAGTACTGTATATTTTTAAGTGGTTATGATGGTTGATTTTATGTATGTTTTCCACCACAATTTAAAAAAAAAAATCAGCTCATTTTAGTATTTCCTAGCCCACTGAATCCATTTTTTGCAGAACATCTTATAAGACACAACAGGAATGCCATAGACCATAATTAGGGGAGCACTTCTAAATATCAGAATAGACATCTTTTGGGATCTTTGCTTTGCTTACAATAATGCCTTCATCTGCCAACCCCTCCATCACTTGTGGTGCTCCACATGTGTGTTTCTCCACTCCCCTCTGTCACACATAGACACACATACACACACACACACATACAGAGTAGCCAGAATGGAGGATTTATACCGATCAGGTTCTCACTTTGGACTCTGGGTTTGGGATTAAGGTTCTAGCTCAATCTGATATCTTAAAAGAAGGACATAAAGAAATAGAAACATGGGAGTTGTCAGGTTTATACCACCTGCCTTCTTGACCAAGAAACAGATGTGTAGCAAGAGTTGGAAGTCCTCCCCATCTAGTTTGTCCTCAGGACCAGCGGCATTCCCATCCAGAGGGTGCACAGGACACCCTGCGGGAGGCCCTGGCAGAAATAACTCCAGAAGCCACCACTGACAACCTACATAGTGCTGTTGGCACTGTCATGCCAACATAGTGCTCCCACCCCTAAACCTTTACAGAGCATTTTTATTGCTCAGAGTGCCTTAAGGCAGTTCCTGTCACCTGCAACTGAAGTATTCGAAAACACCAGCCTATTTCCTACTATTGCTTTTTATTTTCCTGGGTTCTTGCCAAGGAAACTCATCACATTGTTTCCGAGAAGCAAAGTTTCGTGCTTCTCTGCCTTTGCTCCTACTAATCCTCCTGCCTAGAACTCATTCCCTCATACTCCAATCCCACCTGTATCCAAACTCTACCCATCCTTCAAGGTCTACTTCAAAGGCTGCTTCCTGCCCCATGAAGTCCTCCATCATCCTCCCATCCCACCCTCAAACTTTCCCCGTCCAAATTCTCTCAATTGCAGTTACTGTGTTCTACCTTGTAACACAGATGTGTATGCATATCTTAACTCCACTACTAAAAACTGTTTGCTTCTTGTGACCATGAACAATTCTCATCTTTGTGTCATGTACAGCACCTAAGGTAGAGGTTTCACATAAGCAAAGGCTAGAAAAATATATACACATGTCTCTGTGGAAGACTAGCACTTTGTATATTGCTTCATCTCTCACTAACCCTTAACCATACCGAAGGCAGGAATCCAATTTTTATAACCCTACAGTACCATGACCACAGTGTAGGTACTTGCTAACTTGATCACCTCCAAATGGGTGTCAGAATCTGCTGGTCCTCCTGACCTCTTCAGCCCTATCGAATGAGGTCTCTGCCTCTCCAAATCCAACTCTCCCCTATTTGGATAACTGGTGTTCTCAGAAGGAAGGGGCACTCGTTGAGTTGCTTCCAAAGAGGCAGCAACAGAATTCAGTATCTCTAATTACTGCTAGGGTACAGTGCCGTGATAACCTTCTTCCTGCTGTTCTGGCCATGCTAGAGGAATAGGACTATTTGGGTGAGCAGAAGGGAGGAAGGGAAGACAATTCTCTTAGGGGCAGGGTATAGTAGAGGAGATGGCATGGAGTGTATGACTAACAAAAAGGTCCAGAACTTCTGCCCCTTAATTCTTTCCCAATCTATTGCAAATTGGCTAAATTCACTAGAAACAAACAAGCAAGGGCCAAACCTACAGGCATGCAATGAGACAGATCCCTGTGTCAAGCGCCAGATGTGCTCGGTTGTGAGTTGACGATAGAATTCTACATACACATTAGGGATGAGAGGAAGACTGAAAAGAAAGGAAGCTGTTGAGTTCCATCCTCAGCCCATCTCTACTCAGTACCTGGTGAGCATCGCCCGATGGGATGATGTAGGCCTGGATTGGTTCTGTCACGTACTCAGAGTTCCTCATAGCTTGTCTCAGCTGCCGAAGTAGCTCTGAAGTCACCTTTGGAGCCATTCTTCTGTCTGCAACAACAGGAGAGTTTGTTCCAAAACCAGCCTGTCCCCTCCAATTCAATGCCCAATTCAAAGCCAGCCAGAAAGAGGCACTCTCCAAGTTCTGCCACACTCCCAGCTGTGTCTTCAAACTGACCACCCCAGCACCAGACCAACCCCACAGCTGCCAGAAACACTCATGTTTGCAGTTCTTAAATACTACTTCCAAATAGTCATGTGGCAAGAAAATTTTAGTCACTAAGACTCATTTCCAAATGGATATGTTCCTGTTTCACATCAAGGACTTTATTCAAGAGATAAAATAAATATATATATATATATATACACACATATATATAAATTTATATATATATATTTATATATAAATATGTATATGTATATATATATGTGTTGATCTTCATTTACAATAGCTAAAAAATGGGAGGAAACATATGATTGGTTAAATAAACTATTCTATATACTCTATATACTACAACACACTAAGAACTAAAAAGTTATACAGACCTAGAAAAAGATGCCTAGATAAGAATAATTAAAGACAGGTTACAAAATACATATAGACCCTTTTTATTTATTTAAAATTGTAATTGAAGTTTCCAGAAAGACAATCACCCAAGTGTTAACAGTGGTTACCCTGGAGTAAGTATATTTGGAGTGATTGTTTTCTTCTTCTGGTGATTTTCTGCTTCTTAAGTTTGTCTGCTTTAAAAGAAGCATGGTTTATAAACTTTTTTTTAACCAGTTAAGCACACATTTGGAGGAGAAAGCTCAGTCTACCAGCAGTTAAAAGTCTTAAATCTTTCGCTGCAGTGAACAGCACTACCTGTGAACCTCAGTGCTGGGTTCACTTCTGTAAAATATGATAGGGTAAATTAGACACAAGGTTCAAACTGAGCTCCAAGAAGTCCCAGGGGCCCAGAAGACCCTATTAGCTCAATAAAACCAGAATCACCAGCTCTACAAAACGCAAAACAGGAAAAGAAAAACAAAAATCCTTAAAAAGAAATGTATGGGCATTAAATATGGTCCCAGGAGGAATTCTTTTACCAATGTAGTCAAAAGCAAAAGGGTACTGCATGCTAGTGAGAACAAGAAACTCTATTTCTATATGGCAAAGGCACAGATGACACCACCTAGCTTAACCACTTTAGTTGGTTCTTTAAGAAAACCTTTTCTCAATACTGATATATATCAGTTAATCGTTCTGATAAACATCGTAGCTATAGTCCAATGGTTATGTAACAAAAGGACTTCACAAACAGTCAATATAGAGTAGTGATCATACATATTTACCACACCCATACAAAACTAACTAACACAAAACTACACGATTAAAATTCACAGTAGAGGGCTGGAGTGTAGTTCAAGCAGTAAGCACCTTGCCTAGCAAGCACAAGGCCCTGAGTTCAAAAAAACCCCAGTATCATAAAAGAAAAATTCACGGTACAATATTGAGTCTTTTCTTTCTTTCTTTCTTTCTTTTAATTGGGTTTTTACACTAGGTCTTGCTATGTAGCCTTGATTGGTTATGAACTTACTATGTAGCCTACATTGGCTACAAATTCATGACCCTTCTACTCCAGCCTCCCAAATGTTGGGATTATAGGCCCATGCCACAGGGCCTGGCTTGTCAACTTCTTTATAAATAGATTTTACCTTTAAGAGCAGTTACAGGTCCACAGCAAAATTAAGCATAAAGTACAGAGCTCCCACATAGTTCCTGCCACAACATACACACACACACACACACACACGCGTGCACGCACACACACCAACAACCTCTACCACTATCAGCATCCCCCACCAGAGTGGTACTTTTGTTACAATCAATGAATGAACCCCAAAATTATTATTACACAAAGTCCCCATAGCTTACTCCTCACCTCACTCTTGGTATTGTAAATTCTATGGGTTTTGACAAATGTATAATGATATATATCCCCCATTATAGAATTATGTATTTCACTGCCCTAAAAGTCTTCTGTACTCAACCTATTCATCCTCCTAACCCTGTCTTTTCAGGATGTCATATAGTCATATGGTTTGACTCATATAGTAGGAAGCCTTGTCAAATTGGCTTCTTTCTCTCAGTTTTATACATTTAAGATTTCATGATTTGATAGCTCATTCCTATTTAGTCCTGAATAATATTCCAATGTCTGGGTATACTGTAACTTATTTATCCATTCACCTACTGAAAGACATAGGTTGCTTCTAAGTTTTAGTAATTATGAATAGAGGTGCTATAAAACATTCACTTTCAGGTTTTTGTGTCAATGCAAGATTTTAAGTCATTTGAGTAAATATCAAGGAGTGTGACTGCTGGATTGGATGGTAATGGTTTATGTAGTTTAGTAAGGAACTGTCTTCCAAAATGGCTGTATTATTCTACACTTCCACCAGCAATGAATAAGACTTCCTGTTGCTTCATATCCTTGCCAAAATTTGGTACTGCAACTGCTTTGGATTTTGCCTACTCAATTTTTAAACAAATAAGAAAAGATTTTATTTAACCAAAAACATTCTAATGCACAATGCCTCATGGAGAGTTCTAATGAGGCAATTATAGTAAGATCATCTTCAAGGGTTGACATGCTGACTAACTGTGGCTTACACTCTGCTCAGGATGGATCCCTTTTCTTGGTTCTTCTCCAACATTTTCATTGCTTCTTCCTGTTCATCACCACCAGCACCTTGGGTTTTTATACCTGAGTTGTTATGGTTATCTCCAATAGACTCCCTTATGAGGTACTGTATGAATCACAGGACTCCTTGAACAAGTGTCCCATTCATTATCTACACCAAGGACAACTCCAGCAGCAGGCCAGGGCTCTACCTGAGGAGTCTCATAAGGTCAGAAGTATTCAAAAAGTCACTGAACTGTTGGTGAATCAATCCATTTTCCTTGCATTTCAGCTACCTCTGAATACTACTATTTTTTCCTTTTATTTAATCTATTGAGCCTATAACTTTTCATCTATCAGAGGAAGAGAGGTCAGCAGTATCTGGTCTGATCTGGTTTATATGTCAACATATGATCCAACATATGATCCAATATGAAGCTTGCTCATAAGAGTAGCAGCATCTGATATCTTTCAAGAGTTTCAAAATAGATTTACTATTCTTGTGAACTATATTTCTGAGCAAGTGAACTTCTGCCTTCCTAACCAAGGTCTTACTATGTTGCCCAAGCTAATCTCCAACTCCTGGGTTCAAGTAATCTTACTGCCTCAGCAGAGTAGCTAGGACTTCAGGCATATACTCCATGCCTGGCTAGATTAACATTTGAAAAGACAGACAAAAATAAAAACTTCCTTTGGAGCAACAGTTCAACCTTGGCTGCACATTAGAACCACCTGCGGAACTTCTGATTTAATTGGTCTGGAGTGCAGCCTTGGCATGCAGATTTTTAAAAAGCAAATATCTGATAAAGTCCAACATACTTTCAAGATTATTAATTTCCTTACAGAGTGTGGCTTCTAATTTAGGCACATTCTAACTTCAGAATTTTGATGGAACCAACTTGATGTTTACAGTGCTGACTTGTCATATGTATTAACATCATCAGTCTCTAACCTCATCAATAAAGTTAATACAACCAATGATAAGCATAAATCCTCAACTGCAAACTGACAACCATCAAAGGTAAAGTGGACCTGGTCAAAGACATATTCTGCTTCACTGAAACTTGCATCCTCATCACTACATTCTGACCTTCATCACCCCCTCCTATCCATTACTACATATTCCTCATCTTGACTGGCAATATTAGGCCTTCTCAGAATCATCAGCATCATCAGCCTGTCTCTACTACAGTGCTGTATTTACTACCCTCCACAATGTCACCTGCCCCTATCATCTCTCTCTCAACACTCCCTTTTTCCTTTCTTCTCATCCTTCAAGTCCATCACATTTGACTGGTATCCTTGGTGAAATGTAGCCAGTTATTTGTCACTTCTATTAGATATTATGAAGAAACTCCCAATATAAAACCAATGTCAGGGTATGATAAAAGGTAGTGGCAACAACAGTAGGTGCAAGAGAAGACAGCAACAGGCCATTGGTAGAGGTGATGGTCTGTGGCAATACAGACAGCTCCCACTGAGGTGAATACAATGGGCAATGGTGGTTAGGGCAACTGTAGCCACAAAAACCACAGGTCTTAAAAGGGACTGACTCAATGAGTAAGCAGCTAGAGCTGAGGAAAGAGCAAAATGGGGACAATTATAACCCTCAGCCGTTGAGGTGGCAGCAGTTGAAAAGGCAGCAAAGAGGAGGAGGGGAAAAACATGGATATGACCTCTGTAAGGTAATTTTTAAGAAGATTAAATTAGTTACTCCATATAAAGCATTTAGGTGCCTGGCACATAATAAATGTTATGTAAGTATGTGCAATTATTAGAGCTAGATACACAATTAACATAAATACAATCTGAAAAACAGTGTAACGTGTATACTGCCTCTCCCTAGAACAGAGACCACATCATTTGTGTATCCTTGTATCTAACCCAGCATCTGCTGCATACCTATGCTCTCTGAAATGGCTAAATGAATGTCACAAGTTTGTGTCAATGACCTTTTCAGACCCACATAACAAACTGTAATAAATCTGCAGTGAAAGAAGAAAGTTAGGAACTTAAGAAAGATGTCATATTACAACATCTGCTCATCTCACATCCTCTTATTTTTCAGAAATGGTAGTAGCAGCCAAGAGCTAAACAGGATGTGCAGAAAAGTGGAAAGCCATGGATAGGCCTAGTCCATGATATAACATTAGCCCATACACTGCCAGGTATTTTTAAATTGTATCTTAAAAAGAATGACTATGGAAAAGTCTTTTGCATGTATGTGGATCTGCTTTTCGAAGTAAGTTCCCAAACCTTCAGCCTTTATCACTCTTTTTCACTGCTTGCACATGAAAGTATACCCTATTTACCTCATTGGGTAGCTAGAGTTAAAACATAATAATGTGTGTGAAAGTACTGTGTGTAGCGGGTAACACATGTAGGAGCTCAAGAAATATTTGAATCTGGATCTGAAGCACCAGCTGGGATTCCCACCCATCTTGCTATAATAGAAAGGGCTGATTTACTCCAATTTCGGCATCTTAACACATGCACAGATGCTCTTCCAGCATCAATAGCTCTAGAGGTGGCAGTTTGTTTCTCTGCTGCACAGTTTAGGGAGGGCTGAGGGCTTCACATACATTAGTGGTTAATGCTCACAACAATACTCCAAGGGAGGTTTCACTATTTCCATTTAAAGGAACAGAGTTAAAAGCAGTTAAGTAATTGCCCAAGTCAGCTGGATCATCAGGAAGGAAGGCTCAGTTCTCAAGTCCATACCCCATTATCAACATATTATCTAGAGAACTTAAAGAGGATTAGAGCATTCTAAAACCAGAACAATCAAAACATATGGGCACCAGTCCCCAGCTGGCATCTGCAACCTCAGAAAAATGACACTCCCTGAAACTTTATTTCTTCATATATAATAAAAAGAGAAGTTCTTTTCCAACTCTAACTTTCATGATTCTATTCCTTTTTCCCTTTCTTTTCTTCCTCCTTCCTCTCCTACTTTCTACTATGGCCCAAATGTGCTTGATACAACTTTTTTTAAATGAGCTAAAATTGCATATACTAATAGCACTGCCATTCTAAAGGGAGGTTTCTTATGCACTTTAAGGGATCAACTTTCATTCAGCAAAAAAGGAAACACTGTGGTTCTACCAGGTGGTCCATAGAAAAACACTGGCTTACCTGGGATAGAACTACAGTAATACACCACTTTTCAGAATTCAGGTTTCTGGCAACTCATCGGAAAACTAACAAATTCTGGGGGAAAAAAACTGTCCCAAATTTTTTTCCTGAGATTTTTCCTAAACACACACTCAATTTATAAAGCACAATAATGTATTTCTCATTTCAGAATCTGACAAAAGGTTGAAAGCTAATTTCTAAGGTAATCAATAAGGGACTAGATCAAAGGACATAATTAGAAGAACTACAATAGTACCTTTTCAATAATAATCTATCTCTACCACCATCACCACCATCCACTCACCCCCACAAGAATGGGAAGTACAAAAAACTGTAATTCTCTGACTTACTACCTTAAAAATAAGGTAGTAAATACATAAAAACAGTAACCAACCATCCAGGGAGCCAAAGAACAAAAAGATTTTTAATTCCCAGTTCCTCTCCTCAGCCATGATCAACTACTAATCCCTTACTCCTTCTTCTCACTCAATTTGGAGTCAGGATGGGGAGACCTAAAATCCTCTTGAGATGTTTCATCTAATTTATAAGCAAAATTATTACCTGTTTCCACACCTGTGTCTCCTGAGGGTGTCACCTCGTTAGGTTCAATTATTCTTAAATTTCTCAGGTGAAAATCCTGGTGACTTGTCCTTAAAAAGACAGAGAGCAGGAAGTTGCAGACTTTGACCATAGTAAACGTGGCAAGGCAAAAAAATGCATCGACTTGACTTGGCAGTTTTCTTCTGTGAGTCAGAAGAACTCTCACCCCAGTATCAATGGTAGAATAAATAAAAGTTTTAGCCATGTGCCAGTGGCTCATGCTGGTAATCCTAGCAATTTGGGAGGCTGAGATAGGGAAGATCGTGGTTCAAAGGCAGCCCAGGCAACTAGTTCATGAGATCCCATTTCCAAAATAACCAGAGCAAAAATGAACTTGAGGTGTGGCTCAAACAGAAGAGTGTCTGCTTTACAAGCAGAAAGTCCTGAGTCCAAACCCCAGAACCACCAAAAAAAAGTTTCAGATAAAACTTATAGGTATCAACCATCAACCATCACTATGGCAGGATCTAGCTTCCACTTCATGAATTCTCTCCAATTACGTCTGATCACCTTATAAGTAGGCTAAGATTTTATTTTCAATGACTGTACACATTCGATTTGGTTCTATTTCACATCTGTCTATTTTTCTTTATGATTCCCATTCTTTCACTCTGGTGTCTTTTATTAATTCAATCATTTTAGGCCCTCATTTTATAATTCCTTTCAGACTTTCCATTTGGGATAGAAATGTTCATGTTTGCTAATCTGCTGCCTCTCCCTGTTGGTGGCTCACATCTTGTGTGTTTTATCTTTTGTTAATATCTTATCTTCAGCTGGGCATGATGACACATGCCTATGATCCACTGGAGGCAGGAGGATCACAAGTTGGAGGCCAGGCTGGGCTACAACATAGAGAAAAGCTTATCTTCATTATAGACTGGTTCAGCTGGGCATGGTGGCTCCCACCTGCAATTCTAGCTACTCCAAGAGATGGGTTTGAGGCCAGCAAGGAAGAAAAATAGTAATCCAGGCAAGGTGGCACAGCTGTAATCCCACTTAAACAGGAGGTCATGGGTAGAAGGATCATGGTCTGAGGCTGGCCAAGAGACCCTATCAGAAAAACAACTAAAACAAAAAAGGCTGAGATGTGGCTCATTCTCACCCAGCAAGTGTGAAGCCCTGAGTTCGAACCAGGAAAAAAAAAAAAGCAACACAGTAATCAAGACATTGTGTTACTATATAAGGATAAACTTACAGACCATAAAGGCCAGAATAAACCCTCAAATTTACTATCAACAGATTTTTGACAAGGGGGCCTCTTGGCACCCATTCAATGGGAAAAGAAAGTTTCTTTAACACATGTTGCTGGAACAAGTGGATATCCATTTGCAAATGGACTAAGTTGGATCCTTAACTCAAAACAGATAAATAAATTAATACAACATAAATACAGACGCTAAGCTATAAAACTCTTAAAAGCTAGGCATAAATCTTCCTGACTTTGAACTTGGCATTGATTTCTTAAGATATAATATCAAAAACACAAGCAACAAAAGAATATATAGACACTGGATTTTATCAAAATTAAACTTTTGTGTTTCAAAGAATATCATGAAGTGGAAGGAAAACCTATACATGGCAGAAAATATTTGCAAATCTGTTAAGAGTCTATATCCAGAATATATAAAGAACTATTACAACTCAACAATAAAAAAAGATACATAACCTAATTTTAAAATGCGAAAAAGATCTGAATAGACATTTCTTCATGAAGATATACAAATGGCCATGCACATCAATCCTCCCTAATGCTCAACATTGGGGAAATGCAAAACAAAACCACAATGATATCACTTCGCGCCCACTCAGAAACAGACAATAACAAGTGTGGGTGAGGGTATGGAAAATTAGAATCTTCAAGCATTGCTGGTAGAAATGTAAAATGGTGGTGTAGCATTGGAAAACAGTCTGATAGTTCCTTAAAAGATTAAACAGAGTTAGCATCCAACCCACACAATACCACACCACTCCTAGGTAAATATTCAAGAAAACTGAAAACATATATCCTCATAAAAATTTGTTAACAGGGCTACAGATGTAGCTCAGTGGAAGAGTACTTACCTAGCATCTATAGGACCCTTGGTTTAATTCCCAGCACCACACCAAAAAAAAAGAAAAGAAGGAACAAAACTTGTACACAAATATTCACAACTGCATAATCTATAACAGCCAAAAAGTAAAAACAACCCAAATGTCCAAATGATGATGGATAAATAAAAGTGGTTCATCCATACAATGTGATATTACTTGACAAGAAAAAAAGTCACACTTGAAACATAGGTAAATCTTGAAAACATCATGCTAAGAAAAAAACCTATGACAAAAAGACTATATAGTACATGATTCCATTTCTATGCAATGATCAGAATAGGCAAAACTATACAGACAGGGAGTAGATTAGTGGTTGCCGAGGTCCAAGGGGGAAACTGGGGAAAATGAGGACTGATTATTAAAGGCTAAAGATTTATTTTGAGGGGGAGGAGATGATGAAAATGTCCTAAAAACAAATTGCAGTGATGGTTGTACAACTCAGGCAATATACTAATAACTATTAAACTATACACTTTAACAGAGGAATTGTACCGTACATCTCAATAAAGCTGTTATAAATTTTACAAAGACATATCTTTTTCTTGGACACACTTCAGGTCACATTCTCACCCAATTTCCCATAACTTCAGGGTAAGTTTATAAGATGGTGAGTGAAGGAAGTCAATCCCCTCCAAAAGTCCTCAAAAGCTTCCTACCAACCTACAGCCTAACTCATCATAATCCGCTTGCTTGACCCCATTTCTAGTATCTAACTTACCAAAAGCTCCACTGTTCAGGTGACGATGTCTCCTAACAAGTGAGAGAGAAAGAGAGAAAGAGAAAAAACTGGAATGGCTGGTTCAAGCACAGGACTAGAGAGGTAGGTTAGCCAGAGGCAGACCTATCTGTTCAATTTACAGAAGCAAAGATAACTTCCACAGACCACATACCGCAGTAGCTGTAAAGCTGAGACCAGAAACCAAGTCTGACAACTGAGTGCTAACTCTCAAGGTAAGCATCACCACCTCTACTCTCTGTCAGGATGCAGGAGCCATAAGCATCTGAACAATTCAGTTGCCCTGCTCTTATTGTATCTTGATCTCTATCTACTCTTCACTTACTTTGACAGACACATTCTCAATGCGCCCTTCACCTACTTTGATAGACACATTCGCAAGCTGTCTGTCAAAGCAAGACTATCATTAAATGTTAGAGTTAAGAGTGTGTACCTCAGGGACCACCTAACTCAACTCCCTCCTCTAGACAAACTGAGAAGCAGGCATCAAACGACCCACTTAAACCTCACCACTATTTAGTGACATTATTAGAAAGAGTCCAGACCTCCCAACTTCTTCCTCTTCCCAGGACTTCTGCAGCCTATACCTTTTCCAAGTCAGGACAAGCCACAAGATGGGTAACAGGAAAGAAGCATGCAGACATGCATCTCCTGTTCAATCTTTGCACAAGATGGTTATGAGCAGACCTACTAAAAACTACACATTTCTCTCCCTTTCTTTTAAAAGAAATTCCAGCAGGATTCTAGGTATCCACCTCCAACCCTACCCTCAGTCCATGACGAGAATCATATATGCCTACTGCTCAAATGGGGCAAAACAAGGACCAAAGCTGGGTGTGGTGCACCCTTGTAATGCCAGCACTTGGGAGGCTGAGGCAAAACGTTTGCATGTTCAAGGCTAGTCTGGGCTACATAGTCTGTCTCAAAGAAAAAAGGACCAAGATTTCAATTCATATAATCAATCATGTCTCGTGAGATGAGACAAAGGTAAGTTAGAATAAGCTCTTTGCCTACCCAGAATCCATCCCTCTTCTTTTGACGAGCACTGTGGTTTTCCATTTGAGAACATCCCTCCCCCATTTCAGTCCAAGGCGTTGGGATGACTATCAATCATTTACCTACCAGGTTCTGACACCCAGGCCTGGTCAATCCAGTCCTCTGGTCATGATTGGTTCAGGGACAGACAGAAGAATCAAGTCAGTCCAGTGAGAATGAGACCTGGGACTTCTAGTCCGACCATGGGAAGAGAAGTGTTTCTGCTGGGACTGTCAGCCTACAACTCTTATCACCTGCCATAAGAGAAAGGCTGCATGAGAGTGAAGCCAAGCCTGAAGAAATCAGAACCAAGAGATGCAAAAGAGAGGCCAAGTCTGATACCAGTATTGATGCTCTGCTTTCAGCCACACTAGAAACTAGCCCAATCCTACTTTATCTAAGTGCATTTGAGCCCAGCTGCCATGCCCTAAACTGAAAGACGTCCTCACTTCTACAGCAGATTGCACTGAAATTCAACCTTCAGGAGGGTACCTGGGGAAAAAGGCCTCCCTTTCTCAGCCTACCAGCTGATGTTCAAAGACCCTTCTGCCCCCAAAATATTGAGATTCCATGGATCTAGCAAAGGTCCTCAAAGACTTTTTCTCAGCCTACAGCCTAACTCATCATAATTCACTTGTCTGACCCCATTTCTAACACCTAACTTACAGAAAGCTCTTTCCACATGGAAATTTGCCCACACACCCTTCCACAGTGCGGGTGTGGATCTTTGCCCACCCCTATCGTGTTGTGGCAAGGCCAAATCCAGGGGAAGGTGGGCTTCATACCTGACCTGGTCTGAATTCAGCAAGTAGGCCTGGCCATGTTGCTAATGAGTTCATTTAAGTCTCAACAGGTCTTAGAGGGTGAGTGACAGCCTGTGGATCGCCAAAGTTTGAATTTTGGCCTTTGTGAACTTTAATCATTTCTCTTGGTCTCCCACTTTGTGGGGTGCTCTGATTAAGTGTTCCCAGGGTGTTGGGACGTTTAATCTAAGGCCAGGGGATTGTCCTTATTTCCCAATGCCCAAGGAAAACCCAGGGCAGGATACTGATGAAATATCACTGAAGATTATGCCAAAATATTCCCTAATACAGACTCTGAAACCACTTGGGTGGAGAGGGCCCCATGGCTGCGTGTCTTTGTGGTTGTGAAGTAAGGCGAAATGCAGGTATATAAATTGTCAGGGTTGTAACTTGAATATTAGATTGCCCTGGAAGAAGGGTTAGGGCGGGGCTCGCCCACCTCCCGGTATCCGGGGAGGACCCAACAAGGGCCAACTTCCTGCTGCTGCGGGGCCTTCCCAGGGGGCCCGGGGCTCGGTGACTGTCGCCATGCCCTCCAGCCCAGCGCCGCAGGTCCTTTGGCACACTCGTCTCGGTACCGGCTCAGGCTACCTCGGGGTGCCCATAGCCCGGCCGGAAACGAACAGGATCCTGCCCGGCTGCATGGCTCTGTCCCTGGCTGGGGGTCCAGCCAGCTCCGGCCCTCACCTGACCGCGGCAGGCCCAGTGCTCCTCACCCGCTTGTCCCTGCCCTCCCGGGGTGCAGCACACGCGTCCGGACAGGCGGCTGCGCCTTGCTCGGATGCCGGCTTCCCGGCAGAGTCCTCTCACCTTACTCGCGGTGACTTTCTGGAGGCTGCCATTCGGCGGTGACGTGCCCCGGCCCACGTCAGGGGAGCGCAGACCAGCTGATCACCCGGAAAGGCAGGAAGAAGGGAGGTGCGCGAGCAGCCCGGCAGCAGCGTACGTAGGGCCGGCCACACCCCCCTCTGTGGCGCGCTCACGCCACGGCCCCGCCCACCCGCCGGGCGGGGCCTCTTTGAATCCTCGCCGTAGCCACCCGAGTCCAGGGACCCAACCCGCATCTGCATCGAGCGGGAGGTGCCTCTCTGCTGCGAGTTAGGAAGAGGACGCCGTGCTGCGGAGTACCATCATTTCTGTTCATTTTTCTCCCCATTTCCAAAAAGAAAGCGAAGAGCTTTGCAGGCTAAAGGGGTTGCGGCGCCCTCCTGGGGATGTCCCTGCCTTCTGGGCAGCTAAGAGGAGGGGTACACGGCCAGTTCTGGTCCAACCAAGATAGGAGTTCTTCGAGGTTTGGAGCAGAGTCTCACTTGCTGAGGCATTATAGATGTCCCAAAATCATTTCTTCAGAAAGCTTCAAAATCCAGCTGCCCACTCCTTTTGGATAACTGCTAGGCCCTTCAAAGTTAACCAGTACAAATGGAGCTCCAGACCCAATACACCAAAACAAGAATGTCCTCCAACAAGCAGCCTCCACCATCTCAATTACTGGCTGTTCCATTCTTTAAGTCCAAAACCGGAATCATCCCTGCCCCATGTCCCATCTACCCAAAAATCCTGTTGGCCTTGTCTTCAAAATATATTAATCTGACCGCTTCTCACTCTCCTTCCTCCTGTTACCCATCTGGTGTGCATCTTACTGACTCACCTGTGTGACTATACCTGCACAGTCTAAGATCAATCTTTTGAGGTCTGAGATCGGGGTCACTTCTCTGCTTAGCACTTTTTCTTTTAAGTACTGGGGCTTGAACTCAGGACCTACACCTTGAACCACTCCACCGCCAGCCCTTTTTTTGTAAAGGGGTTTTTTTTGGTTTTTTTTTTTTTTTTTTGAGATAGGGTCTCATGTACTATTTGCCCGTGCTGCCTTGGGCCACGATCCTCTGGATCTCTGCCTCCAGAGTCGCTAGGATTACAGGCCTGAATCATTGGCGCCCAGCACTGCTGAGCACTTTCCAGTAGTTCCCCATCTCACAGGGGATGAAGGCTCTACCTGTAGATCTCCTCCACCTTATTTCTACTGTCCCCACCTTTTCTACTCCAATTAAACTGGCCTCCTTACTATATTTGAAACAGCTGGGCATGCTCATGCCCCAGGCTTCTGGATTTGCTCTTCCCCCAAATATACAGGTTCATTTTCCTAAGACCAACTCTGATCACTCTATTTAAAATTGTAAACTTCCTCTGACATGCTCAAGTCCCCTTAGCCTGCTCCATTTTTTTTTCATAGCACTTAGCTCTTTTAAACATGATTTAAAAAAAATAAATATTGCATTCTGCTCCCTTTCTCTCTACCCTACATACACACACACACACACACACACACACACACACGCCATAGTTATCAGTGCAGGAATTGTTTCTGTCTTATTTAATGATGAACAATATCTAACATTTAGTAAGTTCTCATATATTTTCTGTGAGAACGAATGTCCCTAGAATGTACACTCTTCAAGATCAGGAACAGTGACTATCTTGTTCACTGTTATGTACCCGATGCTTAAAACAGCACCTGGCACTAAATGAAAGTGACCAGATTTTCAAAAGATAATCTGCACCTCGTCCTGCATTGACCTGGCTGAAGGCCTAACGCATCTGTGACAAATGGGTTCTGCTGCCTGCAAGAATTTAAAGTTCTAGTGAGTATTCAAAAAACACTGAAACTATGAAAGAATCAAAGATGTGGTGTACCAGAACAACTGTTCCATTTCCCCAAAGTGATGGAACCAAAAAGAGAGAGACTGTAAACAAAATACTGGACACAGCCCACATCTGAAAAATGTAGGGAAAGATCAAGTGAAAAGACAGAAAACTTACGATACCAAAAAGAGAGAAGTAACGCCTGAAGGAGAGAAGGATTTCATAAAATCATATTGCCTCGGAGAAGAGTTGGCTCAGAATTTATGTGATTGGCTTTAGGGCAGAAAGAGAAGCACTTGGTATTCCTGTTTGCTGGATAATCAAGCCCCCTTCCTGCTCTTGACGTCAGGGAGAAGTTGAAGGGAATTCCATTACAGAGGGAAAACCTTAGGGGTTAAGGCTGGTTCTCCTGACGCTGCAGTCCTCACATTTTTGAGCACATGGGATACACTGAGCACTGTGAGTGTAGCCCAAAGCAACCCAGTGAGTAAGGACCATTGTCCTTATGTTACTGGTTGAGGAGACTGAGGTGGCCCAAAGTCCTTGAGCTCTTAAGTGTGAGACTGCGATGTGTGTGAAGGCAGCAGGATGGATTCTTAGCTCCCACATACTAAACCAGGAGGTTTAGTATGCCTTCAACCAACCCTCCAGCTACACAGCAGAAAGAGGGAGGCAACCGATTTCAGCATTTGAACTCGGCCTGGATGGGTCTTAGATGCAAGTAGAAATATTAAAGGTGGAAACATGGTGTGTCAAATTGTGAGGCCACAAATTCAGACATTCAAACCCTAACCTCCAGTACCTTAGATGTGACCGTATTTGGAAACAAAGTCATTGCATGTGCAATTAATTAAAATAAGGTCACACTGGAGCAGGGTAGGTGCTTACTCAATGTTCTATTTTCAAAAAAGGAAATTTGAGGCTAAGTGATAGAGTACCCACCTAGCAAGCATGAGGCGCTGAGTTCAAACCCCAACCACAAAAGAGAAAGAAAAAATTTGGACACATCATACAAGGAGAATGCCATATAAACACGAAGGCAAAGATCAGGGTGATCTATCCACAGGCCAAGGAACACCAAAGATTGCCCAAAACAAAAAGCCACCAGAAGATTAGGAACAAGGCATGGAACAGATTCTTCCTCCTAGCTCTCAGAAGAAAGCATCTCTGCAGATACCTTGATCTTGGACTTCCAGCCTCCAAAACTGTGAGACAATAAAGTTTCTATATTTTAGACCACCCAGTTAGATCTGGGAAACGAATACAAAATGAGTTCTTAAGCCCGTGTCTAGATGGTAGACCTGTTATTTTGACCACCCAACTTTCATTCGTTCTACTTCTTTTAACTATATCCTCAGAGCCCAACTTTCCCTCCTGTCCTCCTTCATTCTCAGGCTATGTTGTCCTAGTGACATGCTTGAATTCTGAGGTGCAAGCTATAGTGATGGGCTCAGAGATTGCTGTGGGATCAGTGCAATGCAATGAGGTTTTCATTCTAAGTACTAGAACAAGAGCTTGCTCTTCTTCCCCAGGCAAGAGCCTGGAGCAGGTGCTTTAAAACTGCCACCTCTGTCTGAAGCATGTGAGTGACCCAGAGACAGCAGAGCAGACAGAGGAAAGAAACAGACCTCATCACATTATCTGAGCCCCGAATCCTGCTGTACCTTAGACCAGGTTTCCCACTGGACTTTTCAAATGTCAGCCAAAAAATTCCCTTTTGTGTTTAAGTCAGTTTGACATGGGTTTTCTGTCATTTACAATCAAAAGACTCCTTACTGAATCATTTAAATAATCATACGTACAATTGAATTTTATGCATGAGTAATTATGACTTTATTTGTATAGATAGTAACTAACAAATGGAAGAGGTAGCTTATAAAATATAATATCCCATTGTTATAAAAATGTAGATAGAGATTTAAGACATATATTGCTATAGATATACTTTTTGGAGAATAAAAGAAGTGTTCCAAAAAAAATCTTAGCAGTGCTTTTCTTGCCCCATTTCTTTCTGTTTTTTTTTTTTTTCTTTTTCTGTGCTTCGAGTCAAACCCAAGATTGCCTTTCATCAAAAAAGAAAATAAGGTTCAGAGTGGTGGTGACAACTGTAACCCCAGCACTCAAGAAGATGATATGAGGATTGAAAGCTTCAGGCCATCCTAGACTACATAGCAAGACCCTATTTCAGAAAAGAAAAAAAAAGAAAGAAATCACTAATCCTTGGGAGTCAATGGACTCTGTTGCACCTTACAAATCTGAACACACCAACCAGTAAGTGTCCTCCAGGTTTCAAGTTGGTAACTGGTTGATGGCCTCACCATTTACTTCCCACAGACATCTGGAAGAAAAAAAAAGAAGAAGAAAAAATTCTTGTAGCAAATCAAAATTACAGCTTCAGAAGAGAGTTTAACCTGTTCAAGCATTTTCAGTTTGTTCTAATAAAATTGATAATTGTAACAGCAGTGAAGAGTGAGGCTCACGTAAATTGTTATGATATGGCCTTTTTTTTTTTGTAAAGTTGACTAAAAGATAGACTTGTGGTTACACCCTACAGAAGAATGGGAGAAGAAAGCCAACTTTCAGATTGTAGTCTGCCAAAACAAAGTACTGTAAATTAAGGGTGGGAGAATGCATTTGGCTCTGTTCAGAATCTACTCACCCTTTGTATTCAATGAAAACTGAACTCAGACCTTTTGACATCTAAGTTCCATTTGCTTTTGGCAAAGATCAGTTCTCTGGTTCAAACCAAAAAAAAAAAAAAAAAAAACCTTTTTAAACCTTTAAGAGGCCCACAGGGTTTCTTGGACTTCAAATGATTCTTACACAAACAACATATTGGTGAGCTAAGTGTAAGTGAATCATAAACATACAGAGTAAGTGCTCCCTGGAACACATGGACCCTTCATGCTGTAGGAAAAGAGACTCAGGGAAGAACTAGACCTGTCTCTTCCTTTAAGGAGTATTCCTTTTTGCCATATTTCATTCCCAACTTGAGAAACTTACTGAGGACCTTTGCAAAATGTGGGAAAGAGAAGAGAGTGTATCCAGCTGTTCTTGTAATTCCTTCCTGGTTATGTCTTGAAAACTATACTTTGGATAGAGTTAGCAAGCCCTAGAGGTCAAGGTCAAGAGACAAGTTCTGGCCCCAGATCTGCCATGTATAGCTTTTCTGGTTTCCTAAGGGGTCGGTGTGATGGTCCCCTTTCCAACCTACTATGTAGCAGTCAAGACCTATGCAGAGAACTTGAAGCT